GAGGTCCGAGAAAGCATTCTAAAATGAACAAAAAGGTGTTGGAGTCTAGATCTGAAACATATAGTGTTCTTGGGACCTTGGAGAGTAATATAGTTGCAAACTTTCTTCCTAAATCTCACTCAAAACTCATTAAAATGAACCAAAACACCAAATACTCTTAGATCCAAAGATGAAATGCAATAAAGCTTGGAACTTTATAACTTACGAAGGTCTAGAAGGTAGATGAAAGTTAAGATCTTCAATTGCCAACCTTCAAGGATTAATCTTGTATGAAAAAATTGCTCCAAAACCACCAAAACTCCAAAAAAAATGGATGAAATATGAGAGGGGAGGCTCAAATCTTGAAAATGGAAGCTAGGGTTTCTCCCAGGAGGTTCGAGATATGATGGAGGCTAAGAAAATACCCTAAAACATGAATCATTACATTTAAATACCTTGAAATCCCTAAAAATTTTGTGGGCTTTTAGGTTGTACAATTCTCATGTCGTGAGAATACATTCTCACCTCGTGAGCACTTCTCATGACGTGATAATTACTTCTCACCTCATGAGAACAAGTTTTCACCCAATTTCATTCCAACTTCAAATAGTCATAACTTCTTCATTTCAACTCTGTTTTCAGCGATCTTTATATCCATGGAAAGGTATTGACGAGCCCCATAGTTCTATTTAGTTAATTTTGGCTTAACACATGTCAAAATAAAAACCATATTTCATGAAAGAAGTCTAAAACATCACTTTTCCCATTTTACCCTTTGACTCTAAGACACAAACCAAGGCTTTAATCAATTATCCAACATTGTCATCATCTAATAAGGTCTAAACAACATTCCTTTGAAACCCAATACCTTTACTTAATCCATTCATTGTCCATAATCCAAAAAATAAGAAACTTCTCAAAACAGGATGTTACAAAAAAAAGCTCTAAAATCGATTAGGGTTTGCAAAGGGGGTCGAATATCGAAATGAGGCTGGAGGCTGATGAAAGGAAGAAGACTTTGGGCTTAAGGATGTTTAAATAGGGTCCAAACCCTAAAAATTAGGGTTTTGGATCCTTCCATTTACGCCGTGCGTACTCGATGTACGCCCAACGTATGTGTCTTTCGCCCAAAATTGCAAGAATGCCACTATGGGCCAATTTGCAACAATTATAACATATAAGGGTTGGAAATGTAATTTACCTCCAATATGGATGTTACAGTTCTCCCCAACTTGAATTAGACTTAGTCCTTGAAGTCCGTTGATGTGAACAACTCAAGGTAATGCTCCTGTATTCTCTGACTCGGGTTCCCACGTCCATTCAGAACCCTTCTGACGTTGCCACTGAACCTTGACCAAAGACTTGAATTAGGGTTTTGTGCAACGCCTTTGTCTTCCGATCCAAGATCATCACTGGTCTCTCAATTTAATTCAGGCGATCATCAACCTAAACATCATCCAAAGGAGCAACCGTTGAATCATCAGCCACATACTTTCTAAGTTACACAACATGGAAGGTGTTATGGATCTAACTGAGCTCCTCACACAAATACAACATGCAGGCTACTTTCCCAACTTTGGAAATCACTCGAAATGGACCAATATATTAGGGCCCCAACTTACCTCTCTTCCAAAAGTGTATTACACCCTTCCAGAGTGATACCTTCAGCAAAACCATGTCACCAACCTGGAACTCCAACTCAGATCGAAGCTTGTCGGCATAACTCTTCTACCGACTTTGAGCTGTCTAAAGTCTCTGCCTAATCTGCTGAATAAGCTCTATTATTTGAAGAACTACATCATCCGATTTTAAATAACAAGTTATGTATCATATTGTAAGAATTAAATCATTTTAATCAGATCAAGGACTTGTAAATTGTAACTTGGATCATAAAATATGAATTATATCCTTGGAAATAATATAATATAATATAATATATAATAAATGATCATAAATTGTTTGAATCATAATATTTTTAAATCACAACCAATTAAGAATAAATATTTATGAATAATAGTATTTTAAATTGTACCATTATTAGATCATATCATTTTGGATAATAACATTTTGGATCATACCTGATGGGATGTCAAGTCCACCAAGCAAATTACACCCTTTGTTTGCAAATAAAACGTAATATAACAATAAAAAGGGGTATCGATCCTCGGGGAAATGGTTGTTTTCAATCACCAATGCAATATAATAGAACTAGTGTAAATAAACTAACTAACTACAATTAAACTAAAATGGGGGGGGGGGGTAGGGGGTTTGTTGTGATTGCTTGAAAACTAAAAGACTTGAATAACTAAAAAGCTTGCAATTAAGAAAGATGATGAGATGCTTAAATATGGGAGAGAATTGGTAAACCAAGGCAATTCAACACAATAACGTTTGTGTGTTTATCATTAGGATTTAATATGAAGCTTATCATTCATCCCAAATTGGTTATAGAAATCATGAAGCATGATATGCCAAGATTCCTCATAAGTTGTATGGAGGTTGGGGAAGCCCACAACACACCTTTTTAATCAAAATCAAAGATCCAATTGAATCAATTGAACCTAAGAAGTTGATTAGCCTTAAGAATGAAGTAATCCCCAATTCCTAGAGGATGTCAATGCTTACACATCCATAAAAGAGTTATGATTCATAAGCTAGAGATAATGTCTACCATCACAAAGCCCTTGTTCTAAGTAAATTTAATGATTCAATGCTAAACCAAAGAAATAAACCAACAATTGCTTATTAAAGTACCAAGCTCATGATCAAAGCATTAAACAAGCATAGGAAATATGAACTAGAATCATAGACATAAGATAAATGATAAATAAGCATAAATCCTTCAAAAACCCACAAACATTCAAATGTTTTAGCCAAGGTTTACCAAAATAGAGGATTTAGCCACTCATGACAATAGAATAACAATCACAAAAGTCCAATTGCATTAAGAAACTAACAATTACTTTGGAAGATAAGAAGAATGTGTAACCAAGCTCCCAAAATCACCTCCTCTAGTCTCTAATGGTGGAAAATCAAAGTGATAGCTGAAAGATCCAACCCCCAAGGTAAATGGTAAGCCAAATGACCAAAATGCCAAAAACTGGGCAGTTGCGCGGGTACCCGCGCACATGAGATTCCACCATCGCAAGTGTTGTTGGAATGCTATTAGCTCATTTTTCCTCCACTAACCATTCCACTACCAAAGATTCCATTGGTCCCCTCCATATCCCACATGATTCAAATTAATCAATCATCTTTTAGCTTCAAATATGGATGCTCCAAGCCCAAAATAATAATCCATAACCCATCTTCACAAGCCTACTTCATCCAAGTCCTTAGCTTTTTAAGCCCAAATCTCCTTTAATGGATCTGCAAAGCCCAATAATGCCTCAGAAGCCCACAAATCTCATTCCAAGTTAATCCATAACTGCAACAAGCTCCAAAACCCTACAAAATACCTCATGCAAAATAAAAAGTCTCCGATACGATCCATGATAAAGAAAATAAATAAAATACAATGTTTTATTGATAAAAAGATCTAAAAATCTAAAATAAACTAATAAAAATAAGGAAATAAAATAAGCTATCAATACCTAATAATATTTTGAATCATATAATTTTGAATCATAATATTATGGATAATCATTTGTTATCAAATTATGTTTGATCATAATATATTCAACTAAATCAAGTTTTTCTTCAAAATATTTTAGATCATAACAAATTAATGATCATAAACATATTGATTCGTAACGTTTTTAGATCACAAATATTTTGAATCGTCTAATTTTGGATCATATCATTTTCAACATTTTTATTTTTAAACTTGTAATATTTTATAATAAAATCTGATAGCTAAATAGCCTTACTTTTGGGAAAAAAAATCAAAAAAATTAAAATATATGATATATAGCAACGCTTTAAAAAGATTTTTGATTTTGAGATGGAAAATTTTTCACAACTTAGTTTTTTATATATGTTGGTTTATATTATTTTCAATCAAATTAAGTTTTTCATATAGTTCATAAACAAAATTTTATTTTATAACATACTTTTATATAACATATTTTGTATCGCATCATATGTTTTGCAGTTTTGTCTTTATAATCGGTCATGATCCAAAATTCGACTTTTTTTTTTAATATTTTCAAATTTGAACTCGTTTTTGTAGGGAAAAAAAAATAAGAACTTTCGCGTTTTTAGTTTTTTCTTTTTAATAAAAAAAATAGTGATAAAAAAATTTTTGGGGAAGAAATAAAAACAAATGTCTGGTAGTGAGACACGTATGCCGTGTGCCTAGTGCATGGATGATTATTGGCGTTTGGAGTAATATTATACTGAGTTATGACGTTGATTATTTTTGTTCCTACTGGACATGGAAATGGAAATTTACTTCAATTATTATTTTTTTTTTTTTTTGTAACAAATATACCGTCTGTGCCGTTCAAAAAAAAAAAAAAAACCAAAAAACAAAGATACTGTTTGTACGCTATGCATAAGTTTGATGTACCCTTCTTCTTTCCTTTTTCTTTGGGAAAATGATTTAAAAGCCCAACGAAGTTTTCAAACCATTCAAAAAACCCCAATCATGTTTTGTCTGTTCAAAAAAACCCAACGAACTTAACATTTTGTCTAAAAAGTCCAACAAAGTTTCAAACCGTTCAGAAAATTTCAATTTTGTTTTGTTTAAGTTCGCTGGGTTTTTTTTGAACAGTCAAAACATGATTGGAGTTTTTTAAACATTTTGAAAACTTCGTTGGTCTAACAAGTCATTTTTCCGATACGGTAATAAGCCACGTCATCTGTTTCTTTTATTTGACTTTCGAGAAAGTGTAACTTAATTGGGCTTTTTAGATAAAATGTTAAGTTTGTTGGGTGTTTTTGAACAGACAAAATATGATTGGGGTTTTTTAAACGGTTTGGAAACTTTGTTGGGTTTTTAAGTCATTTTCCCAATTATTAATGTGATGATATTTGTGTTTTATTTCAGGATTCATGATTATTCAGCAATCTTGTATCTAATGTACACTGCAACTCTTGTAACCATCTACTTACCAATCATATCACTTATTCAAGTGAAGTTTCAAAACCAAAAAAAATCTCCTTTTGAAACAAGTGGTTTCTTTATGAACTTATCAGTTGTTGCTTTATGCATAGCTACAGCCACTTCAGGAGTCCTGTTTTACATAAACCATCGGTTGCAAAACTCAACAATGGAGGACCTCTCTCTTGTTCATTACATGATCCTAAAAGGAGTGTTTTCCTTCTTTGGCATCCTCATCCATGTTTCCCTCATCCTCGTCTTAATCATCCCTAAAAACCTTGATTGGATTAGATACGTAATTATATGTGTACTCCTTGGGGTCGTAGCCATATCTAACTACCGTGTCTACAAGAGGTTAAATGACATGGAAGACGAGCTCAACATGGAAGCTCATCAAATGGTCTAAAAGTGCCACGTTTGAAATTATATGTTAGTGGTTGTTTGAATGTTCAAGTAGAGACTGCGTAGAGTGTGCATCTGGTGGTTTAAATTTAAATTAATTGTTAGATAATATTTACAATTTGTTATTTTTGTTGTTTGTTTAGTTGTTGTATAACTTGAAAACTTGTATATGCTTATCGTATAATTGTTTATATAAACTGAAAAATAGTTAAATTACAGTATGTGCAAAATAATCGTTTGTATATATATTTGTCGTATAAGTATAACATTTGCATATGTTGAAAATTTGCCGTATATATTTTGTTAGAAATTGTTTGTATTTGTCGTATAAGTTGAAAATTTGTATATCTTTGTCGTATAACTTGCAAAATTGTTAATTAGAAAGATAAAAATTGTTTATATATTTGTCGTTTAAGTTGAAAATTTGTTTAATAAAATGTTTATATAATTAAGTATGATATTGTTTTTTATCGTAAATATATTTGTTGTAGAACTTGGAAAATTGTTTATATATGTGTATGTTATTGTTTTTTATCGTAAATATATAAATTATTAATTAAGAATTTGTATTTGCATTACTAATTGTTTATGTACTTATTGCAGGTCATAATCATATATTTTAAAAACAAAATATTTTTTAGTTCTCTAATTTGTTTTTGTGTTTTTTTTGCAGCATGATTTTAGTTTTATCAATATGAAAGCAATTGTAAACTTAAAAGGGTCGGGCGGTAATATATGGGAAGTATTTGAAGTTTTAGATGATGTCAAGCGTGCCATTTTCAGAGATACTGTATTTGGTTATTTTATGGATGTCCCTCGTTTACAAGGGGACGCATTGTTGTTCCATAAAATGTTCCTTCATCAGATCCGGTCGGACCCTGTTTTATCTCCAGATGGAATAAAACGATTAAATTTTAGAGTAGGCAATACGAAAATGGTTTGAGCCGGAAGAGTTTTGTTTGATAACCGGCTATAATTTTGGGGAGTATCCAAAAAACATTGGGAAAAAAGCGTCGGAAAAATTATTAACTAGTAAAAAAAATGTTTATTGCGTGAGCGGCTATTTTCGGACCATACCAATAGTTCGGTGAAAATCAGCGACCTGAAACGTTTAATTTTAAATCGAACATTCTTAGAAGTTGACGACATTGATGCAGTTAGAGTATGTTTGACATACATTTTGTGTGAAGGTTTTTTGGGAAAAGAAATTAATGATCGGGTGCCAGAAGATTGGTTTTTTTTGGCAGAGAATTTGGATCTATGGAACATGTATCTTTTGTTTACGTTAAAAGTTTTATTTTATTAAAGTTATAATTTATATAAAAACTAATTTTGTTTTTTTGTTTTGTTAGTTTCGCTTGGGGTAGCTATCTTTGGGATTTTACTTATGTTGACCTTGAGGATACATGGAACAAAATAAATAATTATTTATCACTTCCTGAGCGTCGTCAAACTTTAAAGTACACCGTCTCAGGATTTACGGCTCCGATAAGGATATAAAAGTTTTCTTATATTTAAATTGTTTTATTGTTATGTTTTTTATTTTAATTTTAACTTTTATTACTGTAATTGTAAAAAATTGTAGATATGGATATATGAGATGATTCCGGCTGTTCGTGCATGTGGATTTGTGTTGAGAAAAAATAAGAACATGCCTCGGATGAAACGCTGGAGTGGAACAAATAAATTGAAATGGGTTGATGTGAACAAGATTTTTTCAAAGATACAAATTTATAAATGTTTCGTTTATTATTAATAAACTTGATTATTATACTTTTATATGCATTTTTAATATGTTTGATTATTTAGAAGGGGCAACCACCAAGACAAAACATGTTACCGATTGATGGTGAGATGATATCTTGTTATTATATGTCATTTCAAGAGTATGTATATGGTGAAGGGAAACCAATTCCATCCCCAGTACGAGACCATTTTAGGAGACAAGACGAATCTTCGTCTAGTATGTCGTACAGTGGTCGCTCTCATCGTAGAGGTAGGGCAGTGGGAACACAACCTAGACGAGGTGTTGAAACGACTACATGCACTGGAGTAGCATGTGTTTATGAACCGACAACCTACAGAGGTTTTTGTTGAAGAAGTTAATACTGAACAATATTGGAATGACATTACTTTTGATGATCCTATAGTGTCACAAAGAAAATATGATGAACATGTTAGTTACACGGTACATTATTTTTTAAATTTTATTAACATATATGAATCCTGTGTTCATATTTTATATTTGAAAATATAGGTTGTACAAGATGAAGTGATGAATAAAACAATACAACTGAAAATATTTTTGGTGATATTGAAGACGACAAGGTTGTTATAGATATTACCTTTACGATTTTAATAATTACTTTTTAATGTGTCTTTCGTTATTAAGTATAAAGTTTTATTTTTAATGTAGGTGTTGGAGGAGATGAATGACTATGCGGGGAACAAATTTGATGACGATATGTTTGATGTAAATGATTATAGTAAAGTTAAAGAGGTTCTTATACTTACATTAATTTATATTTTGTTTTTAGTAGATTGAAACATTTTTTTAATTACAGATTTTTGCTTATTAAATTATGTGTCTTTCGTTATTAAGTATAAAACTTTATTTTTAATGTAGGAGTTGGAGGAGAGGAATGACAATGCGGGGAACAAATATAATGATGATGTGTTTGATGTAAATGATTATAATGAAGCTAAAGAGGTTCTTATACTTACATTAATTTATATTTTGTTTTTAGTAGATTGAAACCTTTTTTTAATTAAAGAATATTAAATTAGGTGCCGGACGAAGATGAAATGATAATTACGGGAATTGTAGATTATTTTGATGAGTATGGTGTTGATGGCAACGAAGTTACACCCGATAAACCGAGGACTCGAAAACCATCACAATATTTGTGTCATCCTTACACCGAGGTATTCGTTTTATTTATAAACTCAAAATTTAATGTTTATGTGAATTATCTGAAAGATAGAGATTTAAACATTTGAATATTGTTTTTAGTTGCACACGAAACCGAAGCAAAAAAGAAGGTTGATATGAAATCAACAAGTCTCGTTCCTCCTCCAGCTTTTGGTGTTGTTCACGACTTCTCCATGTTGCGCCTGCAACCTTACGTAGCAGGCGGTGAGGTTGTCATCCAAAATTATTTATTTCATTCATATGATGTCCAACATCATTTGTTTAATTTCGTGTTAGATAGAGATTTTTGGAGCTCATTGTTTGGGCATACACACGACGGATGGTTGGAGTCATCAGTAAATTAATTGTTAATTTATTATTTTAAAATTAAATTGTTTTTTAGTCAATAACAAAAGTATCATGATTTTGTGCAGCATATAACCATTTGGTACCGACTATTGATGGAGAGACAGTTTGAGGGCGACCGACATACAATAATGCCTCCAAATTTTTTTGTTTCTCATGCTTTGGAAGAAGGGCAGGATTGGAGGGCGTTTATGGCTGGTATTGCTACGTACCCCAATTTCATGGTTGCTTGGTGGGATGTTGATACGATAAACTTAATTGTTTATATTGAAAATATTATCGTTATTTTTGTTATGTTTTTGTATTGTGATGTAAAGAAACATAATTTTATTTTCTTATCCTTATACAGGTCTTATTGCTGATTCATTTATCCCCTAATCATTGGCTATTTGGGAAACTACGATTAGCATCAATGGAAGTGCATATTTATGACAGTCTTGGTAGAGGGGCTTATGAAAAATTCCAATCTGAAGGAATCTTTTCCAAATTTGAACGTCGGGTGACAAATTATTTGGACAAGATTAAGTATTGGGCACGGAGGAACATCCCAAGGATTCCATTGAATATGCAATTCATTTATGAAGAAAATGTTCCCCAACAAAGTAGTCATTTGGGAGATTGCGGTGTTTTTGTTTGTATGTTTATGGAGCAATTCGTTTCAGGTCAACCAATACATGTTCTTATTGACCCAAAGAACGTAGCATTAGAGTTCCGTCAACGGATGGCAAAAATTTATTGGGGGTCTAGTCTGGGTCCTATGTAGTTGGATTATATAATTATATATCTAAATTAATGTTGGATTTGATTATTAGTTTATTTTTACAGTTTCGTCAACGGATGGCAAAAAGTTTAACGTTACGATAATTACAACAAATTAATGACCTACTAATAACTTATCAATACTTAAAACATAAGAACGTATACAACATTTTTTTTAACGTTACAAGTACACTGTTCTAAACATAAGTACAAATACAACAATTTATTGACCTAACAACTTCAAAACCCTAAAAACAATATTAAAAAGCTTACAACTTGTAAACAAGAACTGCCAAGAACAACACCCAACTACAAACCAATGCTATCTTTAACTTCTTATTTTTTGATTAAAAGAGCTTATTAGAGTTAGCTACTTTAGCTATTACCATAGATGATTGGTCCTTCTCTTCATTAACCCAACTGATAAACCCGCATTTTGGTCCCTGTTAAATTTAACATTGACAGTAAAAAAATAAATTTTTGTCATGTAAACACGAGGGTTTAAATTTTGAATGACGTTAACAACATGATACCAAATATGGGCAAGCGTAAAACAATCTTCCTGGGTTTTTAGCTGTACCCGAAATCCTAACGATACGTTCTCCTCCGCAATTGCAGTATGCCATTAGCCTTATTTTTCTTTTAAATCGGAGTTACTTTCTCAGTTAAATTTTTCATAATGAGTGACACCCATTTATAGAAGAAATCATATTACAGACAATTCTTTTTGACTATGAAATGAACTGGTTTGACTATGAATTCAAAAGGTTGAACTACAAAATCCAGACAAGTACATTGTGATGTCTTGTCTTTTCTTGTCGATATATGATGTTTGACTATGAAATGAATTGGTTTGACTATGAATTTAAAAACTTGAACTATGAACTGCAGTCCAGTACATTTTGTAGTATTGTCATGTGTCACACCCCAAAACCACAAACAGCGGAAACGTTCAGGGGTGGAGGACG